AGTTGTTATTATCTGTATTTTAATTATTTTTCCATTTGTTTTTATCCTTAATATACTGAATTTTTTCTTTAAAAATGGCAAATGAGGCCACTTTATGCTGATTTAAATTCAGTTTATTTAACTGTGAAGTCAGACCTGTATGTTATTTACAGCCAGCATGTAAATTAATACTATTTCTATGTTTTTATTTTACTAAATATTATTAGGAATAAGGAAAACAGGGAAATTCTGTAAAATAAAAGTTTATTTTTGTCATTTAATTTAAAATTTAATCCCAAATATCCATCATTTTTCTTCTTCAAATGACAAATAATGCATTTTTTTTGCAGATTAAATGTAGTAAAATAGAAAAACTGTGATGTTATGGTCAACAGTGGACTGACGAGTTATTATTTGTGATTGAAAAAGCAAGAAAACTCTGCAAAACAAGAGTAAATTAGAGTTAAAACCTATGAGGATCAGGATTTAGATGTGAATTCAAAGCCAGATGATGACGGGTAAAGTCTGGATCTGTTTTTCTCTGTCTGATATCAAACAGATTTCTTCTTGTGACGTTTTTATCTCTGAACCTCCCAAACTCTTGCGTTCTCCCTGAAACACTCCCGGTTCTCTGAGTCTGGTTCCCGTCAGCCGGAGTGACGTCACCGCCGTCGAACCAACTGTAATTTTCCAGTGGCCAAAAATGGAGGCGTCGATCTGCTGCAGCGGCGGCGGAGATTAAAAGATGAATAATTCAGCCGCGGGTCATGAATCATGTTGCCTTCGTGCCGCCGTCTCCGCATCGAGCTCCGTTTGCTCTCCACTGTGTGTTTCCAGAAGAACCGACTCTTCACGTCGCTTCGGTTCGAGGTCACCAGAGACGTTCTGTCGCTGTTGACTGAAGCACAGCGACGAACTCGAACTCGCCGAGACGCTTTTGTCGAGCGTTTGAGGTCGAAGTCGGTCCGATTCCTCTGAAGTGATGCAGTCAGGGTTCAGCTAACATCCATAAACCATCATCTGCCTCCTGAACCGGGAAATAAAGACGGAAATATAGATTCAGTCAGAGTTTCACCTCCTGAAAATAACAATGATATCAGTAAAACAGTGACGTGCAGGGTTACGGTTAAAACTATTAAATTAAAAAACAAATTACTGTTTAGANAGTTGGGGTGAAAATGGCCAGAGGATGGTAAACAATGTATTAGAATTGCTGTATGTATATTTTTGATCCAGTTAACTGGTCGTACTTCTCGTAGATCCTCACCAAAATGCGTGATTGTTAAGAGTTAAAGGAGTCAATGGAAGCTCTAGACTGCCATGATGTACCCGGTCTTTACCAGTGGACGTAAACTTTAGTTCAACTCGACTCACAATGTGCTTCAAGACGCCAGATTGAGCGAGAAGCTGCCGGTCAGCGCCGTAGCCCAAACATTTCACATCGCTCCACTCCCTCGGCCGGTCATCAGCTCACCATCAGGCCGATGGAGTCACTATTTGTGCTTTCGGAGCCCAGATGAAGCCGGCTTGGCTCTCGACTCGCTGCAGATCGGCAGCGCCGATGCCAGAACACCAGAGCACAAGCTGCCGGCCGGCCGGCCGGCCTCGCCTGAGCTTCGACCGGGTTTTCTGTCTTCGCCGCTCGGCTTCTGCAGGAGGAAGAATGTTTTAAAAAGTAGCACAGGAGGAGGGAGGAAGCCCAACACAAGCGTGACACAAGTGGAGAAGCTAAGAGGAGGCAGGGAAGAAAGCTGACAGCCTGCAGCTCCTGCCGCCTACCGAGCCTTTAAATCTGTCCACGATCTGAAGAAGGAGAAGACGAAGGCACCGGCGAACAATGGAACCTTCAGCATAATTTATGACGGCGACGGTCGCAGCGAGCGCTTTGATGAGCTGCCAGCGTTGTTGGGCTTTTGTTTGCTCGCCGCTTCGTGCGTCCACGTATGTTGTGTTTCTCTTCCTCTCATCCATTGATACCGGCGAGGGGGAGACGGATCGAGTCTCCGCCGCCGCAAAGGAACGCTCAATTTTTTTGTCATATCACTCGTTCGGCAGCATTTGCTCTCGTTTCAGAGCATTGTGGGGAGATGTCGGCGGGAGAAGAAAGACATGAAACCGCGTCGATGGCGCCTCAGACGCTGTAAACACAGCAGACGATCCAAGAAAACGACTTTTATCTGTGTTTCTTGACTTATATTATCATTATAATGTCACATGTTGATGAAGTCTTTATCCAGAGTTTGGTGCCGTTGAGTCATTTATTGGTGTTTTGGCATTTTGTACAGATAAAAAATGAAAATCTAGGGAAAAAAATAGCAGAAAGGGTGCCGGGAATGGTTAATATACACCTAAATATCTGAATAATAGACATTATGTAGAGTTTTGTCCAGTTTTTTTCACATTTTCTGTAATTTTACTGAACATTTTGTGTAATTACCCCCCAAAAAGGAG